GCTAATGTCATCCAGGATTTGTAGAAACTGTGGGCAGCAGCGCAGCAGAAGCGTCCTGGAAGACGGTGATCTTGCCGTTTCCATCTCGAGTCGCATAGGCGCCGGAATGCGCCCAGCAAAACTGCATGGCAAGGCCAGTGCGTCTAAACAATCGTCGCTCTGGCCTCTTTCCTGGTATGGGTATGCGCCTAGCCTGTTTTTCGCTTTGCTCTCCTATTCACAGGCCGCCCAGGAGGGGAACAAAGAGGTTGGTGCTCTGGTGTCTCTCTTCCTTCTTTCGGTGGACATACGGGGCGAAAAGCAAAGCCCCCTTCGACTGTTTCCCAAACCAACTGTCTCTCTTCATCCCACACATCCCTCGGCAGTAGAATCCGCGCTCCAGGCGAGACTAACTAACTTGAAAAACCTTTACAAACTTCTTCTGGTACAAGTTAAATGCCGCATCCCGGAATTGGGCAGGCACCGGCAAAGGCCTCCAGTGCAGGACCGTAGGACTTGTTGCGGAGTGCCTCACATCACACTGTGGCTCGCTTCGACAAAAACCGGTAAAGCACCAGGCCAGCCCGTGCACACCCTACCTGGGCAGTGTAAATCACAAACTCGCCATCGCCACAGACTGCAAAAAGACGGCCTGGCAAGAAATCAGCAACTACAAAGAAATCCCATATCTCGTCTCTGCTTCAAGATCTGTGCGCACCGTTTGGGTGGTGCGCAATGTATTGAGGGAAGACCTCTGCTGCACCCATGTCCTGCATCAACAAGATCTAGTTGCTTGGGCTTCAGCAAGACACCGCTCCCCCGTGTCCAACCCTCACCCTCGAAGGCACGCTCCTTCACGCTCAGTGGAACTTTCTCGCCCTCCCGCGCAGTAACACCCTCGTCCAACAGCTTGAGGTTTGCAGTCTGGATCTCATTGCCTTTGGCCTGCCGATGAGGCACACACAAGCAAACAAGAGCTGGATCCAAACGATGCCGGATCCACCCATATGATCTTGCCCGAGTGCATGGACACGACAGGCTCCTGCGAGACAGCTGTCGCCCGTTGCTAGGACATGTCGACGGCTTAGCAGCGTAGCAGGCCTCGCTTCCAAGCTTGATCACGACAGTGCCCTCATCGTATCCCAGAGCAGCCTGGGGATCAGAGTCAGAGGTCGGCTGCTTCGGATCCAGGCAAGGTCAGGGTCCCCAGCGGTGTTCGAGCCCTTGAGCACGGCGATGGACCAGACGCGTTCCAAGAAGTAGCTTAACGTGGCCTGCCATGCCCAAAAGTAAAAGACAGCTTGACAACTTTCCATCCCAAGCTCCGTCGCAAGCTTGCTTTAAAAGCATGCGGCTTACGCTTTAGGCTTTTGGGGAAAATAAACCATTGAGGGATGCTGAGAGCAGAGCCTCCAAGCGATATGTAGACCCGTGCCATATCCTGACGGTACCGTCCTCGAGTCGAATTGATGACGAGTGCAAAGACTCGGCATCTAGAGTCTAGAGTCGAGAGAAACATGTAGGACTGCCCCGAGCTTATGAATAATTTCCTTTCAACTCGTCCTCACTGCCCGTCAGGATAATGGGCAAAGCTGGGTGGAACAGTGCCTCAGCTGTTTGCATGACTCTCAGATGTCCCTTGTGGCAGGCTTCTGCAATTCAAAATATGGTGGTTTGCAAAACTATGCCAGGCCAGGTGGCATAAGATACATTGTTCGTGTGCCCGGTCAGCGTCTGTATGCACCTGCCAGGCGCACATGATCAGCATCTGTCTTCCCAGCCTTTGGTCATCATGTCAGTCTGATGCTTGTAGCGTCGAGCGCTGCTTGAACGTACACTGGCACAAGTACCCCAAGGACTTGCATTTTCGAGGACGATGGACTTGTGGCAAAAGGCAGCCGGAGCACTGTTTAGTCTGGTAGTCCCAGATCTTGATGCTCCGATCATCTGACCTCAGCTTCGTGGCAGCAAAAGTGGGAGCTGAGCAGATCCGAATCACTGGCTGGTTTGCTTCAAGGCCGGCACCCTGAGATGATGTAGGGCTTCTCGCCTCCAGGCGAGTACCTGAAATCCAATCGATGTTGCTGGCAGGAGTGAACCGGGTGAACGAGCGACGCATTCAGATTATAGTAGGTTGCCTTTGGCTTTGACGTTTATGCAACTTGCACGTGGGGCACTCCACGCAGTTGACACCACGCTGGTGGCCGGTAAGGGTAAAGTGGCAGCTGCTCGTTCCACCTGCTTGCGCGACTTTGCTGGGCAAGGCTCTTCTGAGAGTCGGGATGCCCGGCCTGCTCCTCCGGACACACCCCAGACCTTGATTGACCGGTCCAGGGAGCACGAGGCAAAGATGTTCGCATCCTGCATACATGCAGTGCTGCAGCCGCAAATCATCATGGCCCAGCTCCCCCCCGCAGTGGTCACCCCCAGCTATGAAGGCTAAGGGCCTTGGGATTCCACTGGCACATCATCACATAGTGCGCGTGCCCTTCGAAGGCCTCGAGGTTTTTAGGGAGCTCTGGGAGCGACGGTGCCAGGTTGGGACAGTAAAGGCGGTAAAGGCCTGAAGGTTCTGCCAATTCTTGTCCCAGTCCCAGAGCCTTGGGGATGAAGCCCAATGACAAAGACTCCGCGTCCCCGCTTCAGAAGGATTCTTGGCCCCAGACTTGATGGACATATCATCCGAGCAGGACAAGAGATACGGCAGGGTCGGATGCACTGCGATGTACCGAATGTAGTCCGTGTGGGCCTGATCTTGGATTGGTCGGAACTTGCCTTCGGCCCTATCAGGTAACCAAGTCTTGCCACTCGGATTGGCATGTGCCTCGAACTCGTGAGCTTTCTCCAGGCTGTTGTAATTGAAAACACGTATCTCGGAACATTTCAGGTTGAAACGAGAACAGGAGCAGGCTACGAATCACATGTTCCCCTGCTAGCGTCTGAGTCACGGGCGTGCATATCATCCGAAGCAGTTGCGATCCATTGTTTGCGGGTGACAAATTTGGCACATCGCACTGGCAGGTTGCAAACCTCAGCATGACGGACCCGGACCCTCAATCACACGTCTGTAAACCTTCCAGGGGTTTGGAAGAAGCAGGCACCTCGAACTGCTTCACCAAAGTCTGCGTGTTGTAGTCCCAGATGAAGATGTTGCCTTTTGGACAATTGCACTCTAACCGCTGGGGAATCTCACCTCATGTCTCCCTGGCCTGAATAGAGTGCTGACAATGTCCAGGGTTCCGAAGGGTGAAAGTCAACGCACTTCACTCGGTCACTCCTGCGAGTCAGCGCAAACCCTGCGTTAGTGCCCCAAACAAATCCCAAACTGCCGGGAAGGGTGCCTGCTTGTTCTTTACTTGGCCCAAAAAAGGCGTGTAGTTTCTGCATCTTTTGGAGACCTGTCCTTTCGTTCCGAACTGCTTACGTATGTGACGTCACTTTTTTCGCACCCCTGGCTGTCTCACCATCGCACCTCCATAAAACAGCAAGGGCCAAAAAAACACGAGGAGAAAGACATGGACCCCCGAATGCTGCCAAAGCTGTCCGAAGCTCAAACCAATCCCTTCTGGCGATGGCTCGATCCCGCCCTGATTGTTGCCTGGCGGACAGCTTCTTCTTGATGTCCAGTCGAAGCGGCATCCTAATATCCTCACCAAGTTCGGGTCCCTCTTGTAACGAGAAGCTTTCGGACATCTCTGTGACCAAGCAAGAGGATGCAAGGAATCACCAAACTTGCAGACTCCCAGGTGCCTACGCCGGGGGCGCTCACCGAGCTCCACCGTGCGCAGGACCACGGGCTCCCGGCACGGAAGGAAGCTGAGCCGAAACCGATGGCGAGTTCGAGAGAATTCCATGACAACCGGTTGCCAGGACAAAAACAATCTCGGCTGACGTGCCACAGTACAGATCAGAGCGTTCCATAGTCCCTCTCTGAGGCTTTGCAAGAACCAGCCTGCGCCTGTGTCAGCCGGAAGACCAACCTCTCGTTTGAACTTTGAGCAGGGTTCATCTTCGGGCTTATGGCAGCAAACAACAGCCGGCTGGACTGTTCGTGCTCGCCGGCAGTTGACAGGCCTTTGGCCTTCAGCTTCTCCTGGCAAATTCTAAGGTGAACGGAACGGAAGACGTGTAAATTTAAGACTGACCGCACTTTTCCTGTGACCTGTGAAGCAGTGATGGTCTTGGTGCTCCGGACACCGTCCACTACTCTCAAATAGTCCTCAGGTCCTACAATACCTCAAGCGTCACGCGCTTGTAGGTGGTCGCCATCCGGAAGATGAAGCACCGTGGCGCGAGGGTGCTTGCACCCCCGGCGAACATCATGAGGACCCATCTCACACCGAAGATCCTGGAGCGCGGGGTTGGGTCCTGACAAGCTTTCAACAAAAAGGCAAACCGACTGAAGCAGAGTCGCGCCTTGTCCGGGCTGAGGAGCTGCACGTTGCGCGTGACCAAAGCCTGACCACCCTGACTGAAGCAGAGGCCATTGATTCGTCGTGGTCCATGCTGCTCCTGCCCCTTGCCCTCCGGGCCTTCTATAAAAGGCAGCTCGTCACTTCAAGTTGGCGCACGGGGAACCTGTAACAGACGGACGAACAAAGCGGCAAAGCTCAGCAGCTTCAGCCAAGCTGCTTTAGGGAGAACAGGAGGGACGTAACCGGCATGGAGGAAGCCCAATGCCTTGCAAAAGGCTCTGTGACATGTCGGGAGCGCTATTTCAGATCATGAAGGGCAGTTCAGACGATGTGCAAGGTTGCTGCTGGGGACCAGGCCAAATTCGTGGGAGGTGCAGGAGGCTTGTCTCGCTCATCGGCTACTGGCATCTGTCGCACTGGTTCACCTCGCAAAACGGCAAGATAGGTTTGATGATGGACATCATGCTGCAGGCGAGAGCCTGTCACGGCCAGGGAAGTCTTTTCTTTTTCGGCTTCCGAACCGACACTTTGAGCTGAGTTGTAAGTCTCTGCTACGGCACAGGTGAGACTCCTCACACCATCATTGACAGGTATAACTCTGAACAATCACTGACCGTCTTCCGGAGCAGACCTCGCATCATGTTGGAAGTCAAAAGATACTATCAACCCTGCGTCGATATAGGACGCAAAAATTGAAGCCCATGTGTTCTGACAGAGAATTTGAACACTTTTGCACGGCGGTATTGGAACCGAGCAGCACCGCAACAGCGCCGTCGTCTGTCTGCTTTTCACCGTTGTCGGTGGCACCCATGCTTTGGTTAATCGTCCACCAGATGCCGGCAAAAATCACAATCAGGATTCCGGCCTTGTGCGACATGTGCTAGATGCAAGGGACTACAAGCACAGCGAACCGTGCGACCCGAACTGACGCAGCATAGTGGCAAAGGCAACGGGCCGCTGAAAGTCATCATCATGGAAAAACAGAATGCCTCAGTGCCCTAGAACATCAAGCTGCCAGGACTTCACACTGAAGGCAAAGAAGACACCGACAACACCGACTGGGAGGGAAGCCTTGAAATACGCTGAAGCCACTGGCGATATTGCCAATAACCATCACCGCCGTGGCCGTGTCTGTATTCACAAGGTGCAGAGTGGCCCAGTGTCCGAGACTGAAGGCCACGCAGGATAAAGCGAGCATCGTTCTTATGGATCCGTTGCTCCACCACAGATGCAGAGAATAAGACATATCATCAACCTCGCTTCTGCTCAGGCATCCCGCGATCACGAAGCAGACAATACCGTCAGTTGCGGTAAGCACAGCGAGAGGGCTCTTCACATGGCCCAAAATACAACGTTGCACGAGTCTGTAGATCACCATGGAGATGACATAATACGTTGACACCTCCATGCCTCTGGCATTGAAGTCTGGATACTGCAGCGCGAAGATTGTCGCTCCGAAAACTTTGGCGGCCAGCGCCATCTTGGACGACAAGTTGGCAGATGCTTTCTCGGATGCTCGCGGTTGCATGAAGGATGCGAGGCTCAGTTCAAGAAATAGACCCAAGACGGGTGCCAAATTTCCGAAGACTGTTCGCTCCGAGAGCGAGCAAAAATTGGCCTCGAAGTGGTCAGCTAGCTGATAGACACCTCGGTTTGCTGTTGGACTGCATCTCTATGCTCTACATTGTAGATGGGCTCTATACAACATCATCCCCATCATCGTACCCGGCACAGCGTCGCCTTCTCCCGAGCAGGTCGCCGAGGGCGCTTCCGGCTTGAAGCCTCGTCCATCTATCCGACGCTTCCTTCCGCCGCTCTCCTTTAGGCTTTAGGCTTTCGGCAAGAACCTGAAGCTCCAATCTTGCCACATCTTGCAAGGTTGCTGTTGCTTCCCTCAATGCCTTTGTGTTGAGGAGCTGACAGCTCCTTCATCCCCGCCTGACATTGCCAGCATGTGATACCCCAGCCCTGAGGCCCACGTGCCCGAACAGATAAATCCGACTCTTGTACGTGGTGCCTGTATTACATCACGGACCGAAAATCTGTCCGGGCATTGGCTCGTCTTACCTAGTTCGCGGACTTCATGTGGCGTCTCCTTTTTGGTTGACTTACGAACGAAACACTCAGTGACTGGTGACAAAGGTCTTCGCGGGTCGACACCACCTGCCCCGACAGCCGCAGGCAAATCGACAAGTATCCGACCTACATGGATGGAGCGGCTAAGGTGGAACCACTCGTATAGTACGTCAGAGCAACCACAGAACGCTGCGAAGCTGCGAAAATGCGGAAATCTGCATCGAACTGCTCTGCATGCGCCCCCTTGCAACTGTGCCTACTGTTCAGGACCAACCGGGCCCCACGAATAATGATAAGATGCGCAACCGTCGCGGCAGACGCGGAATACTGGAGTACCTCCGACTCCAAATCGCTTCGGCAGGCGCCCCAACTCGGATAAGACAGCACGAAACGAACTGATTGAAGGGGAGGTCCATTCCCTCCCTGGCTCCCCGGCTCCGGAAACTCCGCTTCTGCCTGGGACACGATCTGCTCGGCCGCGCTCGTTTTGGTTGCCGCCGGCTTTCTCGAACAACCCTTCCCGATTCTGATCACTCTCCCCTAGCATTGTCTTGAGCTTGCAAAGCTCGCGGGTGGCGATAGCCGATAGCAGTGTCTGCGAGTAGGTCTAAAAACATGGGGCTGTTCCATCTTGAGCATGTTCTGTGCTTCGAATTGCGGGGCGAGCTAACGTCCCCTGCTTTTTTGCCATCCTGCTAGCGGTTCATCTCCTTCTTCTTGGACCTCGTGGTGCGGGCTGCCCCTCCGCGGGAGAACGCATCCATGCCGGTTTGGTATGAAACTGATTTTCCGGCAAGCAAGCCTCGTTGGGCATATCGTTGTTCCAACCAACCAACACTGCGCTGAAAGTGGATAAGTCTGACCCTGCGCTCCGAAGTTAGATTCTGGCTTACGAACTTCTGCCGCCACCTTTTCCAAAGTCAAACTGTACTGGACAGTCCAACAAACATCCGGCATGTTGCAGCCAGAGCGCCAAAAGCTGACGCAGCTGGCAGCCAAAGCGTCAAGTCTTTTCGCAAGGCACTGAAAGTGGGCCTGCCAAATTTTACACCCAAAAGTGAATTCTAAGTACCAATCAGCAACTTAGGTTCCGGGAAAGCTGTCGGGCACTGACTCGACATCGAACTGTTGCTGCAAGTGCCCGCGACAAGTCAAGGCCTGGATTCGCTTCTGCAGAAGTGCACAGTGGTGAGACCAGCACCGAAGACAATCCTCAAGGGCTGGTGCAAACGGAGTGTCCCGAAGGCCACAAAAAGCGAAGGGGAAAGATGAGGCTTAAAAAGCAAGAACAGTTACGCATCCACGCATACGACGCTTCTTGTTTAGGCTTGTCTTCAAGGAACACAAACCGGCTGAAGTAACGCTTAAATCAGTCCACGCTCAGTGGCAGTCCCATCCAGGCAAACAAGACGGTCACATCCAGGCAAACAGGACCCTCATGATATCGCGGCACTACCTTCAATAAAAGGACAAGCAACAGCTACTGCCTCACGAAGAACCATACAAGTGCTTTCTCAAAGGCGGCAATCGCAAAACAAAGACCCAAAAAGCCTCAAATGTCCATTTGTCAACCTGTGTAGTCGGGCAGCATAGACACACTTTGCATAGCTGTGAGCGCCATCGGCGCCTTCATCAGAACGCAAAGTGACTGGTTCACCAGAGTCGTGCCCAGGGTCAGGGCCGCAACACTGAGCCTCAGCAAAAAACGTCACGCACAAGCGAAACCCACAAAGGCACACTCAGTTTGCTTTGCCGTGCGACCTGGACATGTGCTTATGCATGTGTATATGTATGCATGCACACACATGCACTCACATCTGTATGCCCCACCAATCAAGATGCAGCACCCTCACGAAAATCCTCATGATCATCATCCATCATCCCTGTTCCTCCATGAGTCCCTCCTACTGTAGTGGCTTGCATAATTATCCAGGCGACAGCTACTACAATGCAGATCTGTCCTATACGGCAAACCGTACAGTACACGTTACTACAGTTGCCAACTAACCACCACTGCGTCTTAAAATAGTAACCATGCAGGCATTTCCCGTATTCGCACCGCAAGTCCACAGATATGCTCACAGGGCACCATGATCCGTTGATGCGCGCTACCAAATGCCTCCAACTCCTAACAAACCTGCAAAACCCTGATACACCCTGCTGCAATCTTTCATGGAGGTCCTTGCTATACACCTTGTTGAGAACCTCAAATTGACCCATGCGATACTCTGCCTGTTTAAACACCGGGAATCACATCTATTTCGACTCAATGTCCAAGCCACGAATCTCCGGACATAAAATGTCGCAATAAATCAGAAACAGCGATTTGGCGTTTTTGGCGGACCAACGATTTTCCCTCATTTCTGCAAGCCGCGGTTTCCTCTGTCGTGCTGCCAGGGCTCCTTCCTCGTGCTGCTGGGCTACCAGACTGCTTGCTTTCAAAATATCAGGTCATGCTGGTCATCCTTGCTTCCGCGAGCCACCCCTTTGATGACAGCACAATTGTGGCACAGGGAGTCGTAAACATAATTCTCGCACCTCCCCCTGCCCCAACTCCGCGGGCATAAAGACAGAACCAGAAAGAATCAGGTCCGCATAAAGGCACAAGCCGACGGCAAGCACAGAAAAGGCAAGGCAGCCCAGAGACACCCAGGGTGAATTTGCAGATTGCACAGGTTGAAGCGGGGAAGGAAACGGTTTTGCAATTGAAAGTGAAGAAAGCAGACCATCCGGCGGGGGTGCCAATGGTTGGCAAACTTTATGGCGTGGGTGCGCGGGACTATGCACGTGTGTGAAGTATGTATGTACGTACGCACGTCCGTAGCTATGTATGTGCAGGTAGGCAGTAGGCATGTACGTATGTAGGCATGTGGATACGCCTCAGGAGCGCATTCAGATTATGTATGTAGGAATGCAGCAAAGCACGTGGTAACCCTGTGTAGAGCTGCTTCTACTGCACCGGCCCCAAAGTTCGCCGCACTACGTGTTGTTCACTTAAAACAAACCTATCCAAGAGCCCTTTCCCCGCTGGACTCCTCCACAAGTCCTCCGCCTGGAACAGTTATAGTTATAGTACTAAAATTTCATTCCGGGATGATGATTCCTCTGCTAGCCAGGCTAGGGTATTCCTCACTCCCTGTACTCCCCGGGCATGTACGGACCATTGGCAGCTCAAGGTTCTGCAGCAGAAGCAGGTAGAGCTGCTGGGGCGAAGTACCCTCTGAGCCTCATCAGCTTTCGGGATGTAGCGTTCCCTAAGGTCTTCGGATCTAGGAAGCAGAATTCGGTCTTCAGGCTTGGTTTTGCAAGCAGTGTCACCAAACAGCATGGTCGCAAGGGCCTCGATAGTAGTAGTAGGTCCAAGCCATTGCAAGCGGAACGAAGATGAGCAGGTACAGGGTGATGACTTGATTCCTCGGTGTGCCATGACACTTTGGACCGAACCCAAGAACATGGCATAGGAAGATTTGGTAGCTGACTGCCAGGGTTCACGCGACTTGCTTCAAGCAAGACTCGGCTCCGCGATCCGGACAACGACAGAAATGTCGGTCCCCTCAACATCCGGCAGGATCATGCTTTGCAAAACCGAAGCGAATCTCTTGCGAAAGCTGCTGCCAAAAACTAGGCAAGAAGACTCGGTGCGAGTCTGTCTTACAGTTCAACCATATGTCGTAAGTGAAGTCTGGGGCATTCATGCACGTGCTACAGCCTGAGCGCACAAAGGCATATTCTGCTGAAATCTTCCAAGCTTTGCGGCAGAGTTACATTTGTTGCATTCTGTTGGTAGTGCGCGTGAGCAAAGGCCGTGTGCTCGTCGACCTGCTCATGGGCACAGATACTCGGCGAGGCTGCCGAATAGCATCAAACACCAGCTTGCCAAGTGCGCCAAGGCCACAACAAGCAAGCTCAGGGAGCCGTTTCGTGCCCACTGCTAGCCTTCCCGATTTGGCAACCATTCCTAACCTCCCTCTTGCTGGATTTGGTTTGACAGCCCTATGAAAAGACAAAGCCGCGCCGGGACTGAAGCTTGCCGTCTATGCTGTTCGTTCCCAGCATTCACGAGAGGCTAACCGTCGCCACACAAAGCACGCGGATTTTCACACGCCCGAACTCGGAGTCTCGCGACTGGCCATCGATTCCGAGATCCGCGCATCGAGTGCTGACTTAGACTTTCGATTCTCTGTCAGCGAACTTTGCTCTTTGAAGCCCGCCCCTGGACACCCATCCCGAAGACACATAAAAGGGCCTCACGCACAGCTGACACAGCCCGAAATTGCCTCGCAAGAAGTCTCCATGGCCCGTGACAAAACCTGCCGCAAACGAAAGCCTCACACATTAGACGAGGAACCTGATGATTGCTTCCAACAAACAACCTGGCCCTTGCCGGGCAAAGCAGACCGGTGCCGACATTTAAGGATCAGCTCTTTCTCGTGACATTCTTGGATTCACGCGCCCACGCAGGACCCGCTGTCCCCATGCCATCGTGACAAGCTCGTGTCCAGGGTCTCCGAAAGGAGCTTTCTGAGATCTGTTGAATGTTTCAGGATAATGTTGAAGGCTTTGGGGCCTTCAGTACCTCTAGACTCTAGCCTTCGCATAACCCGCCCCGAGTTGACTGACTGCTCCTTTGATCGCTCAACGAGCTGACCATGATTTAGAGAACACTGCGGTCCAGTCCGTCAACAATGCTGCATTCATTTGAGTTGAGGCCTGGGTCCCGTTCTCCAAGGCGTCTGATTCTGTTGCAGACTCGGTGCCATTGCCTTAGAAGTACCAGGATCGCAGAAGGCTGAAATTGAAGCGATACGGCAGAGCTTGCTCTATGTGAGAGACTTGTTGTCGCAAGGACACAGGAGCCGTCATGACAAGCCTGCAAATCGGACCTCTTGACTCGCCTGCAAAGCCCGTATGCGGAATTCGACACGAAATGCAGCAAGGCACCTTTGGTGCTGGTCTCACCTCAGACCAACATGGCCGCAAACACGTCTCCAGCAATGACCTCCAGCAATGACCTGTTGCAGCCATTTCTTGTGTCGGGCGACGAGCAATTTTGCCCTTCTTGGTTGTGACAGAGTCCTTGATGGTCTGTTCCTGATGGACCAGATGTGGCTAAACAAAGTCTTTGTAGCTACATTGATCCATCTTCCCGCCGACCGTAGGACGAAACACAACTCCCACTGCATCAAGTCGCAATCTTCTGGGTGTGTACCACCGCCGGTTCTGTCTCATTTGGCCTTAAACGAAACGCGACCGCAAGCTGCAGGCCGCATGGCAGCAGGCTGCGGCTTCCTCTGCCTTCACAGAAAGCTAAGCCAAGTGCTTCGCTCCCCGCTTCACCGTCGCATTCAGCTGGACCAAGACAGATCCTGAGTCCTGAGCTGGACGTGACACGTGCAGTTCTTCAGTTCTCCCCCAAGAAAGGTAGGTGACGTTCCTGGGCCCTCGTTCCTTCCATGGCAAGGATCATGCGGCTCCTCGTCGATCTTCAGAGCAGCTTTGTGCCCAGCATCACCATCCAGAAATACCCCTGAAACTCGAAGGACGAGGAGGACCAGCCCGAGAGCCTTCCAGAGAAGCTGCAAGACAGAAGATCCAAACTGTAACGTGTCAGCTTGCATCCATTGCACAGAGAGAGAGAGAGAGAGAGAGAGAGAGAGAGAGAGAGAGATAGAGAGAGAGAGAGAGGTAGAGAGACGCCCAGGCTGCGATAGACAAAAGCAGATATGCTTTCGAGCTGTGACCCGCAGATATGATACATGCCCAATGGCCTGAACCGTTCTGCTGGCAAGGCCTTGGTACACGGTTTGCGGGAACTCTTGCTGCTACCTGAAGATAGAGATTCCCTCTAGGAAAAGGCAATCAGCAGAGAAGTTGTGTCGAACACTCAATGCGCATTCAAGCTGCTGAAGCTCATCGTGTGCAGAAGACCATCGAAAAAAAGCGTCGATGGGAGATTGTCCTGTCACAGGCATTCACACGTTGGCAGCATCACATGTTTGCAAGTTCTGGCATCGGCTTTAGGAAGTCCCAGGGCTGCGTCACTAGCTGTTGTGCGACACTTACATCGGCACCACAATGCGGCACAAACCCTTGCTTCAACAGAGCTTGCAGGCTGGATCTAAACCAAGTGCGTGCGAGGAGCTCGGAATGCGTGACTTTCGCCAAGCGGATGGGTTGGTTTCAGTGCCAAGTAAACTTGGAGTCTCGCGGCAGCGGCAACAGAATGGTGTCAGCCACACGAAGCTTCACGTACATGTTTGAATGACACACTACTCCGGCAAGCAGCCATGAAACTCTACTATGTGTGGAACTACAGCAACTTGCAGCACACCCAAAGAAGCCCACCTGGAGCACTGGCGGCATCCGAAAGACCCGGAAGTCGAGGCTTCCGCTTGAGGCCGCTACGGCGCAGCCTCTGTTTTGGCGCTGCATGACCGATACGACGCCTGCTTGTAACAGTGCTGTCTTGCTGCCCTCTTCGTCTTCGCTGTCATGCCAAATTGGTTTGCTCCGCAACTACACGCAGGTACCAGTGCAGCGTCTAGGAGATATGCAATCTTGGGTCGCAAACTGCCCAAGCATCGAACAGGCATGCTAGTTGAGCGAAGCAACAATGGAAGGGGCTCGCTGTCAGCAGCGCCTCACACTCCCGGGACTCTGCAACTGTCCTGGAGCCCTGCGACTCAAATGCCGCCTGCATCCGCAGCAGTCCGCGCCCGAGTGCGACTCGAAGGGCCTCCGCAGGGCAAAGAATGCGGGGAGCTGTGGAGGTTTTCGGACTTGAACTTCCGACATCAGTTCGACCGGGTCCCAGCCAGAAACAACGGACACTGAACCGACATCATCAATAGCAGATCAGCAGCTCCAAGGTGCGAGCTGGTAAACGGTGCTTGTCTCTTCTTTGCTTGAAGCCGTACCTGGCACGGAGCTGACGGAGCTGAGTGCTTGCAGAGGAGCGCACTGGATCGGTCACCACTGCCCCTTCTCAATCTTAAACTCGAATGCAAAGCGAAGAACATTGCAACTTTGGTCGGGGGTTCTTCCGGCTGATATTCTGCCAGCCAACACTCTAGCGGCAACAGCTGAACAGAATCGCAGCGCGATGTGTTAAAAACCTCTTGCGATGTGGTCATGTGATTGCTTCATGCGATGCGAAACACCGAGGGTGGGGCTGACGGTCGTGTCACGTGACGTAAATGGGGCGTGCATGCAAGACGACATCATCCTGCAATGGGCGATTGACATAGTTCGGCAAGCGAGGTGCTTGAAATTTAGCCTACACCAGTGGCTAGCCGCTAGCCTGCGCACACAGAAACTTGGTGACGGCGCCTGTGTGCGCGCCTATGCGTTTTTACACATTTCAGAATCAGGAGTTCTACATGGATTCGCAGAAAACCACAGCGAGAGGGCAAGTTCAGGAAAAATTGAAGTCCAGGCATGTGGCCCGTGCACATCGAGCACTGAACTTGTTGGGGGACTGTCATTGCGCGAACTTGCGCCGGAACGCTGTGCTGCATTAGAAAGGCGTGCCGCCGAATCGGGCAGCGAGTTGGATGGGTTGGGAGGTGAAAACCGCCCTGACAGGGGAGCTTTTCTAGGGTCCCACAACCGCTCCTTCGCTTCGTCAACATGGCATGTCTGAACTTCGGCCCACACCCCCCCCCCCCAAACACCCCAACACCGCCGATGACGTCACCTCAACAAGAAGCCCTACCCCTACCCCTTCCAATAGACGTGATTTGTTTTCACCACAGGATGAAAGAAAATTTTCCTGGAGGCTTGCACTCGACCCGAGATAAGCGCATGCAAGAAGCTCTCACCCGCCATCAAAGCATCCACCAGACCATGAAAAGCGCACGGCTTAGGACGCGGGTTCGGTTTAAGGTCTTGCGTGGGTGTCGGAAAAGACAGTGGAAATGACAAAGAAGGCGTCCGAGCAAATTCCATCGAGGAACGACGTAGTTCGGGAGTTACCCTAAACCGTATGTACCCTGCACCCTACATTAAAGCATCCGAAACCCTACACCCCTGCGTCCACGCTGGAGGTGCACCACGAGAGCCTTTTAAGCCGAAACGAGACCCCCACTTAGTCCGTGTTCACTACCCCGAAGGTCAGGTGGCGCGTTGCCTTATTCATGCCTGCGAGGTCTGCGGTTGAGCCGAAAGCTTCCAAATTACGAACACTACAAACAAATCAACAAACAAACAAACAAATAAACACGCCGGCAACTAAACAAAGGCACACAAACGTACATGCATCAGATGATCCCTGAGCACCACTTGTGTCATCTTCTCGCGAACATCTTCTGGGTCCTCCCAGGTGACCGTAGACAAGCTGTGTCCTTCTCACCTAAACCCACCAGTCCTGCTCCATCAAGTCTGCCACAGTTCGAACCCTTGCAAGCATACAACGTAGAATAAGTACAAGCTACATCTACAAGCTCCCTGCATCTCTCTCTCGCTCTGCACAGTTAAGCCATCAGAACTGCCTGGCAGGACCTGGAGGCGGCGGCGCATCTTCCATGCCTCGAAAGGGACTCTCCGAGCTTCTGCGCGCAAAGAAAAGCGGGCTCCGATCCGTGCAGCCCAAATGCTCAGTGGCAGCAACTCGGAATCAGAAGTTGCGGTGGGCGGCTCGGCAAGAGAAGTCGCTTCAGCCTCTGCGCTGCCAGTGCCAACCATGTGTCAGAGGCTCATGTACAAGAAGCGTAAGAAGGCGGAATGCTGCCTGCCCTCCTTCCAGCTGTTGGCTCCACCTAGAACGAATGCTGACATCTCATCAGCCAACGCATCGGCTGTGCTGAAAGCTGGGGGCTGCTCTGCATGAGATTCATGTCCTCTTCTTCAGCCGTCAGCTTAGCCTGCCTCACCATGACAGCGAAGATGCGCAGGTACAGCAGCACTAGCTGTGGCGATAGCACTAGCAGAAGCGGCAGTTGCCGGTGTCCTGGTCTTCTTCGCCTTGCCCTTGGAGCCCTTTTTGCCGGAGCCCTTCGCCTTGCCCTTGCTTGGACAGTGGGAAGAAACTGAGCACTAAACCTTGGCACTGGCCTTCGAGTCTGCTGAGCGCTGGTGCTGCACTTGAGCAGGAGCCCCTGCACTCCGTTTGCGAGCAAAAGACCCAAGTGATGAGTCAGGCACCCAACCACTTCAATTGAAGATCACTGCCTTCTTCCCTGCTTGCGTCTCCACCTTTGGCCATGTCCTGCAGAAAAGACCCACAACTCGGCATGCTTCGGATTTGACACAGCTTGCTATGTGGGGCAAGGTCCTTGCTCTTCCCTCTCGCCTTGCTTTTGCCTTTGCCGTGTCCTTCCTTGCCTTTGCCCTTGGTCTGGCGCTGGTTACCTTTGCCTTGGCTTCTCGCTTCTCCTGTCAGCTGCTCCCTCGTAGGATTCGACTAGCTTGGGCAAAGCTGTTGCTCTCCTTTGGAAGCCATCTGCGTCGCATCTGCCTTAGACGATACGCACGAGGATCGTGTGACAACTACACAAGCTCTGGGCCCTCAGCTGTCGAAGCCTACGACTAGACTAGGGCCACCACAGCTGTAGCCCAGTTTTTGACCTGCACGGCAGAAGTGCGAAACAGAGAGGGAATCTAATCTGTTCTTCCTGGCCTGAGCATCGACATTTGGCTGGACCTTGACATCAAGCCAATATTGGAACAGCTGGGACCTGGAGACCTCACGCATTTCAAGCGCCGCACCCGTGGGAGGTGGCCAGTTCCGCAGCCAGCAGCAGCCTCACGTTCCGGGAAGGATTGAAAACACTCGGCGAGTGATGTCTAGCAGTCGACAGCGACATGATGAAGTCATTGGACAGACTCCAAACAGTTCGAATCCTCTTGCACTGTGATTTCTGTGTGAAACACTTTTGTGTGCACGTGCGCACGAGTCCAGACGCGCTAATGGCAAGATTGGTTGCAGTTTCAACGAGGGACAGGCGGGGACCTGTTGAGCCTGCTCGTGGATCACTCGCAAGGCGATGCAGGGACATCATGTCTCATCTTATACGCGTCATGCCATGCCGTACTCTCAAGACACATCTCCCATGACACATCTTCACTTATCCCCTTTCTGCTCTCATTGCCCCGAGAACTCTTCCTGACCGTAAGTGCGCGCCGATCCCCACGCGCCGTCCTTCAATTTGCCATCTTCCTTCGCCTTGAGGACGATACTCAGCAAGTCCTGCGCTGTATGGGCCACAAGGTCGCGTTCCAATCAGGTTTTTCAGAGATACTCAGCTTGATGACAATTAGCGCTCGCAGGAGCCTCTTCGGGAACAAGACAGTATGCTTGCACTTCGAGACACACTCTCACCTTTTCTCCGGGTCCCCTACACTACAACTCTGGAGAAGTTTGGCTCATGGGAGCGGCTGTCAGGTGAGGACGACTAGACAACGAGAGACAGTCTCGACAGGATCGGATCAGTCCTGGAAAAAGGGTTTACGGTTTAGGGTGGGGGTTCCTTATTATAATCAGGGTTTGTCTATACCGTCTATACCCCAAAACCCTATTCTAAATACTACTGACTTCTAAGCTAGCCGGTTTTGTCCCAAAAAAGGGCGGCCAAGCCTCATGCCAGCAGCCCCGAACGGCCCGATGTTCTACACTAGGTCCGCTTTCAACAACCCCCAAGATTATCTAGAATATCTTGTAATCAGGGCTAAAAACAATGATGGAAATTAAATTTCCCAAGTCGGTACTTAGTAGTACAGTACCCAAACAAGCGTTCTTGCATCAGAAGTGTTTCTTGGCACGCGTCGCACATGCCTTGCAGAAAGTCCTGAGCATGTCAGCCCTGCTACGATGAGAGCTGCGAGCCCGATACTCATCCTGCCTGCGGGCTGCAAGTCCTCACAAAAGAACCAGTGAGATCGGCCCTGCCGAGAGTTCTGGAAACTGTCCACCAATTGCACAGATCTCCTCCGCCAGCTCACAGTTCTGACTTCCCAGCTTGATTCCGCGGTGTCCGGTGCACTGTGGCGGCTTCTTCTTTTGGCGAACCTGTATGTGATGATGAGGCCGCGAGGCCCACGCAAACCGACCCAGCACCGTCTCGACGACTGGCTTTGCAGTCACCACCAACTTATCCATCTGACTGCTCCGGCATCGCCTGCTCGATCTGCGAGATCATCGTGCAGCTACGGTCCAGGGCCGGCTACGATCTGCATTCAAAGTAGCCAGGTGAAGCGGCCTCCCGTCTTCTGCAGGGATCAGACAGTTGGTTCACGTCTCGTCTACGACGTCCCTGTAGCGCATGAAGGCGAACTGCTGCAAGCCTGTGCGGTGCTGCAATCCCTCTTTATGATGCGCTCGCGACGGCCTGCTATGGCTCGGTTATCATTTCAGTCTGCCACAGTGCCTGGAACAACGTCGGCCTCGCTCCAGCGGTCCTGCAGCTGACCAGCCTGGCAAGTGGCCAAGAGACCGTGCAGAGCATCGCAACGAAGACAAAGTCCACATCAGCCTCCTTGGAGGCAGCAGCCAGCTGCCACGGAAGCAGAACTGCCTCGAACGACAAGCCAACATCCCGACAAGACACAGCAACCTACGGGCACAATTGTCACGTTTCTGTGGCCGGCTGGGGAAAAAACTCGCATCTGGCGGCGTCGCCGGAGCAGATCTGCCAAGACAGCTCGCCGGCTCTGCTGTCTGCCTCGGCACTGAACGGCAAGCGCACCGTCGCCAACTTCGCACAAATCTGCACAAGAGATGCGAAGTGCTAGTCGAGGGCAGGATGGAATTGTCACCGGAAGATACCGAGAGGTGGAGCTTGTGGCAGAGGAGCCCGAGCACAGAAGGAACTCAGGGCTCGACAGTCTTTGACGTATGTCCTCCAGCGCTGCAGTCCCTGCATGAAGCTGAAATGGTGACACAAAAAGCTTCTCGACACTTCGGCTTTGGCGCACATACCGGCGTTGGCGGAGACGACGCAGCCGCTGTCTTTGAGAGACCTGACAACAGCAGCATGCTGCTCGCACTCAAACGCTCACTGGCTGATACTTCGGCCAAGCGTTCAGCCGGCCTGTCTCCACTCAACGAAGACCGCAGGAAGCCAGGCCTTCCGCATCTGCACTGCCAGCTCCTGCATCGTCATGGCCGTGGCAGCACTAAACGCTTCGGGGGAACTCTGGGAGTTCTGCCAGTCCAGGCCTTCCGCCATCGAGCCAAGGCCGCAAGGAGCCGGTGGCGCCGCGCGACCTGAGCAGAAAAGCAGAGCAGAGCAGAGCAAAGCCACTGAGCCACGGATTGGGTTCTTGGTGCATCAGTGCATCAAAGCAGCCAGCTTGGTAGAAGTCTCAATCGCCTCCATTCGGTGCTGGAACTGCCTGACACAGATCATGGGACGGCAGTCTACCCGCCAAGACCCTGGAGTTTCAGGCCCGGTCCTGAGTCTGCAGTAAGCCCGACCAAGATAGTTGCGAGTCATGACTGCCGCCATGGACTTGGCAGAGCACCTGCGACAGGACGGAGACGACTCGATGACTCCCACAACAGGAGCACGAGGTCAGGCCTCCTCTGGTACATCCTCAAAAGCGCCGTGAAAGCCTGAGATGTCGGTAAGCTAGGGAAGGGACTCGGATGCCTGCAAGTGCCTGTGCTTAAGACGAGCAACTTGCGCTTTGCGAAAGCCGCGGCCTGCAGCCTGCAAGGTCCCCGCTTTGGCAGACATCTGGCAGGACCATCGCAGATTCACGAAGCAGGCGCTGAGCTCTCTGAGGCACTTCTTGGAGTCGAAACGCTGCAAACGTCGCAGAGCCAGAATGCAACGAAGCGTACCGAATGCAAACACAAGACGTTGTCTGGATGCGCTGGTCTGCATAGCTGCGGCTCTGGCATGCAGAGCACTCTGCTGTCGAACGGAGTGGCACCACGTGCTGAAGCATGTTGGAAGACCCCGAAGCAACCGTCGCGAGATGAAGATGTCTGCCACACCCTCTGCCCACCGCTGCCAAGCGACCTCATCGCGAACCTGTCTGCGCAAGGCTGCCCAATCCAGCCAGGCTAGTACCACCTGGCTCTGTAGCCTCAATGCCGCTCGTCCGGCCATGCAGTGAGCACGCCAACAGCAGATACTTCGTTTGCACAGTTGCACGCCACGTTTCCGCACAAGGTGGGTTGCACGACGCCGGCAGAGAACTTGTCTGCTCCAATTGTTGAGGACTGAACTTGCCGAAAGGAGTCGAAGCTTCTCACGAAAGTTTTGCATCAGACGCACCGCTGTGACTCGTCTATTCCAGGACTTCCAGCAGCAGTGTAGCCAGGTGAGATTGCACCGATGGCGTAGATGCCCTTGCTCTTCCCGCAGCAATTTGGCAAAAGCACGCCAATCCTGCAACGCGGTCTGGATGAAACGCCACGAAATCTGCGTGTTCAGAGCCGCAGCATGCCGTTCCTTCACTCCCATCCTCGCAGCCAATTGCCAGCACCGCAAAATGTCGCTCAGGTCGCAACCTCGCCACCAATCAAAAAGCATCTGCCGATAGCGGCACTGCTTCACCTCACCCAACACAGCCAGCTTCGAACACGTCAAACGCAAGACCGTCCATTGTCGAAGCACCTGTCGCAGGACGGACGCCTGTTGCAAAAGCTTGGCAGCACGGCTTCTCCTAGACAGCAAGACGCTCTGCCGCAAGCTTTTCAAAGTGTTCGATGCAGCGTCTTGCCTGCGTTTGTTGGCTAAGTCACGGCACCTTGCTCGCAGCATGGTGAAGCTGCACAGCCTCCCCAAAGCCTGATGCAGGATGCAGCGTCTCCAACTATTCAACGCATTCAGGTCCATGAGGCGCTGCTGCTTTCGAGAAAGATTCCTCGAGTGCCAGAAAGATATGCTACGGTGGAGCTGACGCTTCTGAAACGTGGCTTGAGCAGTTCTGCATCGCTCCCTGAAGGCCTTGCTGCATCTTGTGGCTTCTTGAAGGGCCGGCAGGACGCGTGCTAGCCACCGTTTCTGCAAGTCGAGAGCCTTTCTCTGAGCAACCTTTGCCGAAGCGGCGACCTCTGCAAAGCTTTCAAAGGCACGCCTGAGCCAGCTCTGCCAGTAGGTCCTCTCCTGGTACGAGACTGACCGTTCAAGCGCGGCCATGTGGCTGACACGCTGCCACTCATGCAAAGCCTTCTGGCCTGCTCGGGCCATGCATCTAACCCAATTCGCACGCGACATACATGCAGCCCTGAGCCTAAGCATGCGTTGGTGAATGAACTTCGCCATCTGCTGCTGCTGATACTTCTGGTACTTGACCATGAGCTGCGGGACTTCGGGAAGTCTCTTGCAAGCATCTGCCACAGAACGCACCCGAGAGACGGATTGCCAAGAGCGCAGAAGCCTTCTCAAGTGCAAACTTGCAGCCAGGCGATATGCCTTGCGAATCTCCTGTGCCTCTTTGACTGCCATGCATCGCCACGCAGAAACTGTGCCGATGAGCAGCTCCAGGCGGCTTCGCGCTAGAAGCGAAGAGTCATGTTTTTCGTGCACATGGAGGCCGCGAATGTTTCTCTCTAGCGACCTTCCCATGCCAGCTCCTAGCTGAAGTTGGCGGAGCAAGCCGCTTGAGCCTAGATCTGATTGGAAGAACGAAAATATAAAGTTCAAAGCCAGAACCGCTCGACAAAGATACTGCTCGTGCTTGTCCTCCTCATTCAAGTCGTCCTGGATTGACTCCACCACTCGCTTCGCTGTCCGTAAATCGTTGGGCAAGCTCTTGTCCTGCCAACTGTTGCAAACAGGTTCGAGATATATAGGCCATGAGCGCACTGATCATGACAACATGCTGCTCATTTCAGCCATGATCTGCGAGTTTCTGGCTGCACCCGGAGTCCGACCTGTGCGAACTTTGCGCACCCCTTCCCCGGTCAGCTCCCGATTGGTTTTACCAACGGCGCCGTATGGAAGATCATAGAGCAAGGTGGACTGGGCCACGAGTAGCTTCCGATGTCTCTTCCAAGACTAGAGGGAAAGCACCGGAAATGTCTCCAGCACTCATCAAGACTTTGCAAAGCGGACCTGGTTCGGCGAAGAGTTCTTCTCTGCACAACAGGGCCAACCTCAGTTGTAATTGTAGTATCTGCCCGCGGTAGGCTCCATCACGGTGCTCGATGTGGCATACGGTGATGGCGATGGCGATCGCGCCGGAGCTGAGTTGGTTATCCTGTGCCAGCCGCCGACTCTCTTCTTCACAAAACAAGCGGTAGAAGGCAAAGAGCATAATATGTCGCCGAGCGGCGCCACAGTGATCATCTGCGCAGCAGCCCCGACGAAAAATAATCCGATGATCGTTCTAAAGCTGCACATGTTTTGTCTTGTGATGCATCGGCCGAAGAAGCTGCAATGATGATCGAAGCCTGCCAATCCAACTCATCGGCAAAGGCCAGATTCTCAAGCTTGAAGCACATTAGGTAAATCCAACCCCCCATCCGTGTTACTGCCCCTAGAACTGCATCGACGATGAGCTTGTGAGCTAAGGACTCCCGAGAGCTGAAACCTTGGTCTGAAGCCCTTCAAAGTCCCTCGCGGAAAAAACTTTCAGGTGTGCTAATCAGAACCCTAAACATTAGAGTCACTAGAGTCGCAATCAGGTACCGTAGGTCCGTAGGTACGGTACGGTTTTAGAAGCTGCCCTGAGCCCCGGCCTGTGACACAGCGCTGGCAGGTGCGGCAATGGTGGGAGCCCTCGGGGCGCCAGACGCAGCAGCGTGTGCCTTGGCTCCGGCATCTTTCTCAGGTTCAGGGTGTCGGGGTGTCGCGTATGGCATTATGGACGGATGAGAGCCTCTGGAGCTTTGGCTTGAGATCGATCGAGGTATGTTTTTGGAGTCTTGTACCACCCTGACCTGTTCTTGGACTGCCTTCAACATAGCAGAGGCCTTCCTGTGACAGCCGAGCCTGAAAAGTGATGCGTGCGCTTGGGCTGTCGGAGGTTTGGAGCCGTTCACGATGGAGGCTGGCCATGTGTGGTACTCGGGTGACAGTGCCCTTCAGGGGTATACGAAAAACGGAGCCACATTAACAAAGAAAGAGCTGCAGTACGACTGGCCATCGAGGCCACCAATGTTGGGGCAGTCTTCAGTTTTGCTGCTGCCCAACAAAATCATTG